GGGGGGGGGGAAGACGAGCAAACAACTGGAAATTATTAATACTTAATGCGCTTCGTATGGCTCCGGCCGCCTGTTGGCTCAGCAGGGCCGGCTCTGGCTCTCAGGTCTGCCCCAGAAGAGAGACGGCCTACTCCTCCGGACTCCCGGAGGCGTTGATCACTCCCTGGACTCACTCCCTGGACGGGTGCTTAGCTGAACAGGCTGTGGCCAGGCCGGGCAGGAAAGTTCTGAGGGTGTCACAGGCTTAGATCTCCAAGAGAGAGAGCAAGCAAGCTGCCCAGTGGCTGGCTGTCCTGGGACCCAAGACCCCCTTATGGAGGCCACAGTTTGTTTTTGTTTTTGTTTTTTTTCACTCTCAGAAACTCTGCTCCTGGGCCGTCTGAGGGGATCCCTTCTAAAAACAAGACAAAACCCAAACCCAACAACAACAAAAACCAGACTGTGGCCCTTCCTGTTGGGTTTGACAGAGAAGCCTTTCTTCGGTGGGAACGTTGGGGTCTGCCCCAATTTAGTGCCTTTTTCTCGTCGAGATGTCCAGGGTCAGCACCAAGTACGCAGAGTCACCACACTTCCCTGGCGTTTCTAATGCTACTTGAGGTCCTGGAACCATCAGGCGCCAGCTCTGAGCAAGTGCCATACACCCCCACCAGAGGACAGCCCTGGCCCCACCTTCACAGCCCTGTTCACACCTCTGCAAAGACAAAACATCTGTCCTGCTCAGGGCAGATTTGTTAACAATCCACGTTTAGAGTTACTGGATCTGGCAGCCAAGTTCAGTCCTCCCTTCTCTCTATCCATCGCGTTCAGATAAGGAGACCGAGGGACTTGCCTTGTCTTCAAATCACATGCTGGGTAGAAGGCAGCTAGCGGTGGACTGAAAGCCAGGATCATCCCTTCTACAGAGGATACATTCTGGTGTGGGCGGTACTGGGAGGTTGTTCTTTCATCCAGGGCACACGGGGACAGGTTACAAAATCCACGGTGTGTGGTACCAGACAAGTGTCTAATGCAAGGACATTCTGTCTGTCACACTTCCCCACTCCGGTTAATCCCAATATCTGCACACCTCAGCAGTACTGGACCCCTGGTGTCAGAGGAGGAGCCTCTGTACTTTCTGAGGGTGTGAAAGGTGAGCTGGTCGTACTGGGAAAGACACCAGGAAGGTAGTAATTGCTCCCAGGAGCTGGTGACTGAGAAGGCCCAGCATGCTGCGTTCTGACAGCCACACTCCACCTCGGTGCAGATCGTTGTGGGGAGTTTGCCTGCTTTGAGACTTGCTGACTCCAGAGCCTGAGACGCCAGGTTGCGACGCTCTGTGCTGTATTCTGAACACTATCTGCATTTTGGTAGAAGATCCATGGAGACATCAAAGCTGCTAGCATAAGAAAGAGAATATGAAGCTTCCAGATTTGGAGGGTTCAAGTGAGTCCAGGGGACTCTTTTGGGTACATGTCCTCACTGGCACCAGTATCATTAAGCAGCTGGCCCAGGATGTCACAGCGGCTTCTGGGCCCCAGGAGTGGCAATCATCAAACTGGACACAGGGAGTAGCTGGTCTACAACCTGTATGGGTTCTCTCTGACCACAAAGAAAACCTCTCCCAACTCTTTCAGGTACAGACCAAGCAGGGCATCCTCCTGCCTCTGGAGAACTTCCAAGCAACTCTCAAAGCATAAGCTGAGTGACCCACCAGTCCCTCCTTCCCTCCCTCCCTCCCTCCCTCCCTCC